ACACACACACACACACACACACACACACAAGTTTCTATGTTCCTTAAAAAAGACTTAAATTGTATTATGAGCCTTTGTCTACAGTGCAGCAGCATTTTCTTTAACATCATTTTAGTGATATATAATATAGCACTGAGTTGATGCAGTAGTTTACTTACCAGTTTCCCAATTCTTGGACACTTGTTTCAAATTCTATAAAAATAAAGAACTATAAACAACATGGACATCTTTGACAACGGGTATGTTTGAACGTACTTTTTTTTTTCTGTTTTGCATTTCTTCCTAAGAGCACATTCCCATTGGCTGAATTACTGTGGGAAGAGATATGCTTATTTTTATGCAGAAGCTTTGTGTATGTCCTGCTGTTGGCAGTAGGATCCCTTAGAGAGAATTTTATCTGGGGCCACTCTTCTTAGTTTAACCTGTGCCAAGATCCCCGATGTCTTGGAAGCACTACTGCTGCTTTTGGGCAATCATCTATCTAGTTTATAGCTAATGCATTTGGCCTAATATGTTTGCAGGATCAGTCTGATAAAATTCAAGGATAAATGAATAGATGGGACTGGACAGAGTGTGTCTCACACTCACACAAGGAGTTGGTTGAAGTGTCCTTAGACACCTCGTATCCTCGGTGACACTTAATGTGTCAGTGAAGGGGAGTGTGAGCACAGGAAAGCGGGCACAGAGAAGTAGCTCTGCCGTCCTGACCAGGGAGGAGACACAGGAGACCGTGTAGGACACTGAGCAACCACGTGGGTTGCTGTGCAACCCACTGTGCTATGGGTCTTGCTCGGGCAACAAGATATCAAGTTTTCCTAGGGTTTAGGTGGCATGTCTCTTCCCGATCCATTATATCTCCTTTGTTCTGAACAATCTTCTGACTGTTGATTGGCTTCTTTGGTATCTTCATACCAGAATGGTGGCAGCGCACCATGTAACGTGCTATGTTTGCCTCTGTATTCCAGCTACGAGGTTGCTACTCACGAAAGAACATAGGACCTCCTGCTATGCTTTGTGGGCTGACTTTACTCCCCAAGCCATTCTTGCTTTATTAATTTTACTTGATTTTGGCCTCATCTTTTTATTTTGGATTTATTTGCTCTTGTAACATGCTTGCATATTTCTAAGTGGCCTGAAGTTTGTTTTGGAGTAAGTCATGGTTTGAATGAAGAAAGAAAGATTGGCTAGATTCTGGGCTTAGGAATTGGTCTGGTCCGTTTGGTATGAGCGTGGTACCAAGAAGTCACTCATCTTGGGTCCAGTGTCTGGATCTGACTGATCCAGGACCAGGCAGTCAGTGCTGAAGGTTCAGCCTCAGTGCTGTCCTTGAGGTCCTGTCATTAAAAACCCAGCCCCTCTTAGGCTCTCCCCTCCTTCACTTTGTACCTCTTCAAAGTGGTAACATATAGATCATGTTTATTCGAGGGTTAAAAGCCTAGTTAGCAGTTAAGTATGCTTACCCTATTTGTCTTTTCTGCCTCCTTGTGTATTTTACTTCTGTATTTTCAACCTATAGAAACTTTAGTTTCGACTGAAGGAGAAAAGTGGATTTTCTTTTAGCCTGGATTATTCTGCTAAGTGAATGTTGTAATTTTATAATTCAGAATTTTGGAACAGAGCCCTTATTAAAAGTTACTTAGTAACTTATATCATTGACTTTCCGGCATCTTTTAAAAAATGAATTTATGTCTTCTTCCTCAAGGAGGCTCTTGAAAGTAGGGACCTCTTCATATTTGAAGTGCTCACAAAACTGAGACCAAGTCTTTTCACAAAGTAGTTCATTACAACTCTGTTGAACTGAATACTCTCACCTTCAAACAGGACTGAGAAATAAAGATGTCTGGGCACCCCACCCTAAGAAACAGAAAACAGTCCTGCTAATAAATATATATAGGATTGATAACCTCTACCAGAGACTCCACTCACTCAGTGGTGTCAAGGAAAGTCCCACCCACTAGGGGTGTAGCAGTAGGTTTTAGTTTAAATTCCGTTTGCAATCAGAGGAGCTTTGTTAATTTTAAGATGGAAAGGTATTTGTATGAAGAATACCACGAAGATTTTGCTTACTTTTAATTTGGTGAATGTCACTTTTATTTAGTAGTTTGAAATTAAATCTCAAATCTTTATAGTAGTGAGAAACAGCCCAAATATTTCATATATGGTAAGAAAAGGGCCAAAGCTTGTAGTTACAGCAGGCCTCGAGTCTCTGATTTGAGGTGAGAATATGATTCCTGTGGAAATCCCTTCTAACCCTCCAGCACGTTTTCTTAATTTCTTCCAGTGACTCAAGTATTTTGAGGGCATATATAGGCCGAGCCATTTGAGCATTTAAAAATAATAACTATACTTTGGGTATCCAGCTCATTACTGTGATATTCCTTGAGAACAAAAGACACAGAAAAGGAATTTTTTTTAAAAGGTGAATTCCATTCACTTGCATTATATCCTGACTAGGGAGCTGAAATAACCCATTTTCAGAGCTCTTCAGGGTGATTACTCTGCATTTGCTGCAGAGTAGCCCTGGTCAGGAGAAAGGGTTTAGGTAATCCCACCAGTGATCTTTTTTTTTTTTTTCTCTTTTGCTTTTTGCTCTGCACTTTCTTGTCATTATAACGGATGCTTTCCTGCCTGTATCTGTTGTTAATGAAACAGCTTCTTTTCTCTTAGATGAGAGGAAAGGTGGGATAGGTGGCCCCTAGAATCCTGACGATGGACAAATATTCACTCACACTCTGTCTACTACTGGCAACATGACCCAGTGAAGCTGGACATCCAAGCTATGAGGCATCTGTGAACACATGGCACAGGACTTGCAGTTGTCAACTATGGTCACATGGGAAATGAATTCTTAAATAAAATAATATTTTACACCTATGTGTAACCACTAATGGGGCAGTTACTATGATTGGACTAAAAAATTATTCTGGGGTGAGACTAGACTGTTATTTCCACATGTGAAATTCATCCACTGGTATTTGTGTTCAATCTAGTGTAGGAAAGAATTGAAGTCAGAAGGGTGTAGAGTGCCACAGGGGGTCATTGGATGTGGTTAAGTTGAGAAAACATCATAGATATAATAATAATAAGAGTAGTAGAATCATCCCAAACTTTTTAAAAAAGAGAGTGACTATGAAAATCTTTTGTATCACAGGAGGGTTTCTGGCCATCTTGTGGCAAAAGAATGGTCCTTCTTATAGATGTTATATATTTTTCTTTTTCAACAAGTATTCCAAATGCACTGACCTTTTCTGTGATGCTAGTAGCTATTTTTAAAAAAGTTTATTCTTCCTCAAGGCAAAGGTGACATTTTATCAATGAGAGAGAGTATCTGCTTATCAAAAGAACTCTTGCTATGGAGAGAACATCGTGAAAATGGATGTTGATAAATGTTTCTATCATTATATGATTTTGTTATTGAAAATGATGTATCTCAACCACAAAAATCTTGATACTTCTATACTTCAGAAACCAGAATTTTGTAACTGGCATAAACATTTCCATTGCGCCCAAAACAACAAAATACCTAGAAATAAACTTAACCAAGGAGGTTACCTATACTCTCAAAACTGTGAAACATTGATGAAGGAAATTGAAGATGATAGAAAGAAATCTCCTGCTCTTATTGGAAGAATTAATATTATTATAATGGCCATACTACCCAAAGCAATCTACAGATTTAATGCAACCCCTGTCAAAATACTCATGGCATTTTTCACAGAACTAGAACAAATAATTCTAAAATTTATATGGAACCATAAAAGACCCTGAATTGCCAGAGCAATCTTGAGAAAAAAGGACAAAGTTGGAGATATTACCCTCCTGGACTGTATACTATACTACAAAGCTACAGTAATCAAAACAGCATGGTTCTGGCACAAAAACTGACACATAGATCAATGGAATGGAATAGAGAGGCCAGAAATAAACCCATACACACACATGGTCAATTAATCTATGACAAAGGAGGCAAGAATATACTATGGAAAAAAGCTAATCTTCAATAGTGGTTCTGGGGAAACTGGACAACTACAAGTAAATGAAACTAGGACACTCCTTCATACTATATATAAAAATAAACTAAAAATGAATTAAAGACCTAAATTTAAGACTTGAAACCATACTCCTAGAAGAGAATATAGGCAGAGCACTCTTTTACGTAAATTGTAGCAATGTTTTTTTGGATCTGTCTCCTAAGGCAAAAGAAAAACAAAAACAAACAATAGGACCTAATTAAACTTAGAAGCTTTTGCACAACAAAGGAAACCACTGACAAAACGAAAGTCAACCTATGGAATGGGAGAACATATTTGCAAATGGTATGACCAACAAGGGGTTAGTATCCAAACTATATAAACAGTTCATACAACTCAATATCAAAAAAACAAGCAACACAATCAGTGAGCAGAAGACCTAGGTAGACATT